AATTCAGTTTCTTACTTGGAAATTTACTTAATGCCCCAAGTGATACAGCTTTGCCTTGGGCATCAAATCAAGTGTTTTCCAAAGGCTGCGGAGCCCAACAAAAGAAGTTGAGTTCTGCTTCTGAAAAAGATAACAGGGTCAGAAAGGTGTCAATATTTGTATCCTTGGGGCGGTGCACACTATCCAATGTCTACATATCAATTTTGATATTGAGTGCAAACCATGCCATCCTTCCCATGTATGCCTGTTTACCACTGCAACAATCAATTGCTCGAGTACCGAGGCCAAAGGCTGGTCCGCACTCATCCCATTTGATCCGAATCGGACCGACGCCTTTCAACCTTTCCTTACACCTTTCGATCAAACTCGAGACGTCATGATTTTTCCCACCTTGTACACTTATTAAAAATGGTTGTAAGTTGACTTTAACCTCATTTCCACTCAAAACACTTTCAATCATTGACAACTCTTACTAAAATCTGATACATCAATTTCGATCACACTCACAGAAACTCAAGCTCACACTCTCAGCTGAGCTAACTAACCTCACCGATCTTTCACCATCTGACCCAGATACCTACAACTACTTCTTCAAGGTATGCATGCCGTCTCTTATGTTCTTTTTTGAAAAAATCCAAAGATATGTATCACTGTTTATGTATCACGTTTTCCTTTTTTTTTCCAGGTACAATGTTCAGGATGTCGTGAAGTTCACGATAATTGGGTAAGTCACTGGCTGACTAGCTCAAAACCATTATCTTCTAATCGGTACCCTTCATTCTCATTGAAATAGGTTGGCATCTCAAAAACTGTCAGTCCTGATGCACCCCTCTCCCCGCCGGTCTCCACAGCGAGGGTTTTGATACTCATTATTGATGTATCTCAAGGACGAGCGCTCGATGACAGGCGGTCGCGGAACTGCCAATTTTGTTTATAAATGCCAATTTTGTTCGGTGAGAGTCAAATTTATCATACTATCCCTCTTACTACACTGAAGTTGACTTTTTGATTTTGTTTATGTATACGTATAGAAAGAGGCTTCAGCCAGTTTAGTTGAATTCCTTCTTATAAAGTTCAAATCAGAATTGATCCTGATCCTCCCGAATTCTCTTGCTGACTTATTCAATCATCTCCATTAGCCTTCGTAGTCCCTAACGCCAAGGCGCCCGCATCGATTTATAGTCGAGACGCGCAATCGGTTACACTCTGCGTGTTAGATTGTCGTGGCTGCGAGTTTACAGAGTTCGATCCTAGGGTCTGTCTATCTCGTCGTTATTGTGATTGAGGGCTTCCTCGACTGACTCTGACATTTCTCAAAGGGGCAATGGACTTGCAAAGGTGCAGAAACGAAGAGTGTGTTTACAGAGATTGAGTTTGAGGACGGAGAATGGCAGTTGAGTCACAAGCTTCTTAAAAGTGAAATCAGCTGGCGGGATACTGATTAGCTTTATTGGCTATTTAGTGACTACGATGAAGCTGCTGGGCTCCCAGTCAGTGTTACTAACATCAAGGTAACATCTCACATCAATCCCTCTGCTTCACGCTGTGTCATTTAGACGACCTCTTTCCCTGCTACATATACTGATTGCGTGAATTATACTTGAACAGACAGCTATTGAACGAGCATAGATGGAAGATTGTACAACAGTTTGAGAAAACACTACAACAAGCACCCCTTCACAACGATATCATGCCTCCAATGACTTCATTGGCCTTGACATTGCGCGTACAATTAGCTGTAATAAGTGTTGAACCCAATTTCATCAATCCAATCTCCAGGGATTGTGCATGTCTCAAGCCAAAAATTAACTTACAGCAGCCCCACGCTCTATACGCTGATGGTCCGTCATCTCCTCTTTTGGAATGCCCTCATATGGTAGGGATGGTAAATCAGTGGTAGGACTCAGCTTGTTTCCTCGGCCGACTGCATCCTGAATGTGCTGACGTTGGGTCTCGCCAGCCTGGGTTGCCAGCTGAGCTGTTTGACGGCGATCAATCCAATCCTGGTGGTCCTTGAGCCGCTGAGCTGCCAATTTTGCCGGTAGATCATCTGCTGCATCTTTCGCGTCTTTCGCCTCTTGGTTCTTCTGGGCTCGTGAGCTGAGATGAAGCCTCTCCATGAACTTGGCCTTCACATCTTCCTTACACTTTGATATTTCGGCAAACCTCTCAAGTCCCCGAATCATCAAGAGTGATTTGGATATTAAGACTCTTGATAGGCGCCAAATGTAGATCAACAGCAAGCAAGTTAGTAAAGTGAAAATTATGGAACGATGGAGCAGGCAAGAACTGACTTGGACATGTCACAGCCCCACTCATGTTCAAGCACATCAATGAATTCCTTGAAGTGGCTTGACCCGGCGCGATAGTGGCCACTAAGCGGGCTGAGCGATGTCAATTGACCTTGCTTAACGCGCAGGAGACCGGCAGCAAGCACGTCGCTACCACCTAGGAAGCTACTATGTTGAAACTTGCCCGTCTGCTTCAAGCCGACGTACAGGTGACCGTGTTTGTCGGCAACGAAGATCCAAGTGTTAGTGTTCAGAGTTTTTCGGAGGAGGGTGTCCATAATAGCTTTAGGGTCGAAGTGGCGCTTGATCCTAGTACACCAGTTAGGTGAGCGAGGCGCTTGGGCATAGTGATTGCCTTGGTCATTCAGTATGCTGGAGTCACTGGAGCAAGAGGATGATGAGTCCGAAGCTGTTGGAATCTCGCCACGCGCTTGAGCTTCTTGGAACTCCTGTTCGGTCAAGTCAACTATACCAAGACCGTTGCCGACATCTCGATGTTTCCCGCGAGCGGTGTCAACAGGGCGTCCGTCTGAAAGAACATGAGACAAACATCAGCTTATCTGAACAATCTGTGGACCTCGTCAGCCAACCCGGGTCAGCTTACCTTTTGCCCAAACAAGTTTTCCCTCAGGCGTGATGTGAACCAGATAATTGAGCCTCTGATCAATATTCAGATATCTGCACAGTCCGAAATATCGTGAGCATATTTCATGCAAAACTCAAATAGATGGGTGGGTAGATAGATAAACTAATACCCACATGATACGCTCTGTTTCCAATCTCTCCCGTGGCGATTCTTCAAGGTCAAGCTCTCGTCCTTCGCCGTAATCGAGCCACTGGTAAGGGGTTCAATGAAAGATTGAGTTTCCAAAAGCTCTGTCATGGTGAGTTGGTACTTACATAAAAAAAGTTCTGGTCTCCATCATAATGAGTATTCCAATAAGTGTCTGTTTTAAGCGAAACAAACGATGGCATTGAGTCAGAAACCTGAAGAAGGGTGTGCTTGTGGGAAGTAACGAAAGATCATACGATAGTCTTTGATATTAGCACCATATCGATGTTTCTGATCCACCAATTCGAGCCAATACCGAATATCCATCGTCTTAGTTGTGTGCTTGGCTAGTTTTTCAAGTTTGTGGCTAGCGTCATCTGACGAAGGACTACGAGGTTCAACGAGTCGCGCGGCAAAAAAGGCACCACGACGCCAACGGGCTGAGGGATCGTTCTTGCCTTCCTGACCAGCTTCTTGGTGAATTGATTTCCGACGTTGGGTCTGTAGTGGGTAGAAAGGGGAGATAAGCTAAAGTAAGAAAAAGGCTTGTAAAGTGTATTGGACAAGCTTACATTGTAGACTTCGCTCCATCTTGCGGATGAAGAAATATTCATACCTTTATGCTCCCTTTCATCTTTAAAATGAGTTTGGGGAAGATGATCAGTCAGTCAGTCTTAGATTGTGTAAGAGAAATATGGAGACAAAGGACGGAGATTGTGTAATATCAAAGGGAGACTAACGCTGGTATTGCCTGAATGTAGCGGAGGAGGATGTAGGAACATAAGAAGATCAGAGTTAAGTCCGATACAGAGTATGAAAGATGGATATTTAGAATGACCTGAAACGAGACTGAAGCACTCTTGCAGCTTTATCTTGATCGTTTTTGATATCGGTTGGGTTGAGTTGAAGCGGCAGTGTGGGAGAGTTGTGAGTTGACATGTCGAGGTATAGCTTGGTTTGTTCTAATGTTGGGTATTAATGTATATATTTAATTTAGTGGGATAGAAAAGCAGTGAGTTTGGAATGAGATTTGGTTGGAAGCGATAAAATTGGAGGGGTACATCGTTTATTAAAATTGGGTTATGAAGCCAAGGTGAGACAGCAAACTGCTGCAAAGGGTTTTTTCATGTTCAATCCACCAGCAGACACGGTGAGAAAAACGCTAATGAATTGGCCGCAGTTGATTAAGAAATGTCACAGGACTATACATGCTTAAAGTTATATCAGAGCAGACATAAACATTTATTTATGTATCGCTAAAACAGGATTGCTGTGGATAGCTTATAAAAATTCACTTCAACCTACTGTACCAAAGTAATTGATAAGATGCTGAATAAAGATGACCGGCTCAAGTGCACTTGCTTTCAGGTACTGGAAGGGCTTATCATGTTAACAGGACTTTTTTTAAAAAAAAGCTCTTCAGGAGTAGCCTTCCCATGATTGTTACTTCGCAAGTCACCAACAAAACCTTATGCTTGCGAAGGGAAATTAAAGAAAAGACAAGGGTTATAAACTATTTTTTTTCATATATACCCTGAACTTTCAAAGGTTCCTACGCAAATTCCCCAACTGAAAAGGAATGGAAGCAATTCAATGAACCATTGGACTGATTGTGGGTGATGGAGAAATTACCTTGGAAAGGTGAACCTGTGAATGAAGCTTTAGAATATCTTGTGGCAATACTTTTTTTTATCAAATTTGAAACTCCTAGCTCAGAAGCTTTGGTAATTCGATATAGAGTGTTTTAGGGACCTGACTAGACCTTAGTGTAGTTCAGCTTTTTCTCAGTTCTCATCCTATGACAGTTGTCCACTTGTGAATTGACCCTATCAAAATGTCGGTATGCACGTACCAACTTCTGTTGCTTCCTGTAGAGCATGTAGGCTGCAGTTGCTGTGCAGGCATATGGAATTTGTATGTGTCTTGCTGCTCACCGTGGCTGCCTGGCCCAATGGTTAAGGCGCCTGCCTACGAGGTTTCTGGCCGAGCAGGAGATTCCAGGTTCGAGTCCTGGGGTGGTCGAGTTTTTGGTTTTTCGCTCAATAGTGGTGTGATGGTTCTCAAATATGAACTGGTTGCCCAAAAAACCTGGTACACCCAGTTCCATTTTTTGGTTGTGACTGGGTGCACCACCAAGAAAATTGCATCGCATAGAGGCATGCTATGTCACATAGCAGGCCAAGATGCGATGCAGTAGGTCTATTTTCCAAGGTAGGGACCTTGAAAAATGGTCCATAGTATCACATGAAGACATGCTATGTTACATAGCAAGCTTCCATGCGATGAAAATATATTGGCAGTGCTACCCCACCACCACCAACAACAACACAAAGCTTCTTGATGCAATTGACCAGCTTCAACATTACCTACTCAATCTCAAAAAAATAAATCTACACATAGATGAACTTGCAGCATTTTTGACCCTTGCAGCAAAGTTTTCTTTTTTAAAAACAAAGTTGAACAAAATATGCCCTTTTTTGCTTGATCCTGACCATACACCAATATAATCTCTTCAAAAGAGTTGCTTCTGCTCACAGGATGTGGAACTGAGATCTTGGAAGGTGATAGGGAGGATCCTGTTTTAACAAATCTCAAACACTGTCAGTTTAATGCAGCAAAGCCCTTTTTTTGCCTTCACAATATCAGCCAAGGTGATAATGATCCATTGTGTTGGATATTAAAAGTGGGCAAGGAGTGAGTGATCATGCTTGGCAAAGGACAAATAGGGAAAACTCTGGATTGGTGATCCAAAGACTGAGCAGTCCAATTGGATTTGGTAGCTCCATTGCCTTAGAAATCAACCTAAGAACTTGGTACAGGATGTTAGAATTTTGAATTGAAACATTACTGTTTCTATTTGTATTCACTTTCCTATCACACCACAGAATGTACAAATACATAAAAATGTTAATCTCACTACTCTAAACCTAATCTTTATTACGCATCAAGATACTGACAGACACAACCTGCCTCAAAGAAATCTTTCCTCATAAATTATCTCTCTTTAACTCAATTTTATTGGTCAGGTGAGAGATCTTTGAGATGTGGAGTGTAGAAGAGTTAGTGGTGCTTAATCACTACCTCCTGGTTGTCTGTCACAAGAAACAGTTCCCATACACTGCCAAGATATTTGTATTGGATGGGCCTATCCGATGTTCTATCACCCCAAGATATGCGATGCAGTGTCAGTAGGATTAGGTGCGATGGAATTACTATCGGTATCTAATGCTCTGACACCATATTGCAGTGTAATTCCATCGCACCTAATCCTACTGACACTGCATCGCATATCTCGGGGTGATAGAACATCGGATAGGCCCATCCGATACAAATATCTTGGCAGTGATACACCCTGTCCATATCAAGGTGATTTGTTGACAAGAGCAGAAAAAGAACTTTTTTAGTTCTCTGATTGTTCTTGTTTTTCACCCAGAGCCAGCACAGGAGCCTTCCCTTTATGCAAGGTATCTTCCTTTTTTGTTTTCTCAATGCACCATGCACTGAAAGGTGTGCACTGTATGCCTGTGCATCACTGCATGGTTCACAATTGTACTGACATCATGATGAACATGGATCAGTGACTTGTATTGAATGGACATGAGTAACAAGGTGGGCTTGAGCCATTGGGCCACCACCCCCCAGAAACTAAGGCACTGGATTTGAGAGGGAATCTGAGGTGATTTCAAACATGACACCATGTGCTCTCCTTGACAAGTCACCTTCATATGGACAGGGTGATACTAGCTTTAAAAACAGTACAGCAGTCCCAACAGGTTCTGCCATACTCTCCTATCTTTTGATTCACATTTTACAAGTTCACCCAGTGTAAAACTCAACTGGGCCTACCAGTTTTTTTAGGGAACTAGTTCATATTTGAGAACCACTAATGTATTCAGCAGCATCTTCTCAATGTGGTATGCATTTATACAATAAAGGGGGGATGGTATAATAAAGTGTGCTGATAGCATGATGGGATTATATCTGTTTAATTGTTATTGAACTTTTGAAGAAAGTGATACTTGTAAGAACTGAGGAATAAGGTGCCTCATTGCTTGAGACAAGGTTACAAAGAGGCCAACAAGTTTATAAGGTGACACTTCACCTCATTCAGACCCTATCCAATTTTTATTCCAGCTCTATTATTTCTGTATCCTAATAAAATCAGTCACCTATTCAAACCATGCTCCAGTGCTCACCATATATATCACTGCCAAGATATTTGCATCACATGGAAGCTTGCTATGTAACATAGCATGTCTTCATGTGATACTATGGACCATTTTTCAAGGTCCCTACCTTGGAAAATAGACCTATTGCATCGCATCTTGGCCTGCTATGTGACATAGCATGCCTCTATGTGATGCAATTTTCTTGGCAGTGTATCCTACAAAGTTCACTTCATTCATAGCCTATGTATTGACTTGATAGTCCAGCCCAATTTCCTTTGACCATTTTTATATATGCTTTTGGGTCTCATGATGCACTATCCAGTATATTATGTAAAGGCCAATTTCTATGAGAGCACATCTCAACTCCAAGTATCTGGAATACTATCTCCTACCCCTGTGTATTTGATGAATTCTTCCAAGCTGGTAGAAACACATGTCTCAAAATCTCATTTGATTGAACCCATTATTCCTTCAAGATGGTATCATTTTCCCAGTGTAGCCCCTGTTGGGTTCCAATCAATCCAATACCTTCTGGTGGATATTATCTTTATCATGGATTTTTCGCTACTTCAAAGAGCTAATTTTGACCTTCTCCTTGTTGAATATTGCCACTTCTTTTGAATTATCCACCCACCTATTTTCCCAAACTTGACCCACAGTCATCTGCTTGGAATCTTAACAATTTTTCAATTTACATTATGATTGTTAGGACTGAATTCAATCCTATTGCCCAGATTTTTTTTTTTTTGAAAAAGACAAAGTGAACACTTTAGAAGGTTTACAAAGAGTACTTATTACACAAGCATACATACACATAAACTTGGTTGTAAAATCAAAGTCATCATATCTGACACCTTTGTCATTAAGGGAATTGAGAAAGAGAAAGAATGGACACTAAATTTGAAGGACAATCAAGATGAAAATGATCAAGTACACTTGTACCATATTGGAATTTTATGGAGGTGTGCTGTGTAACATAAAATTCTTTTTTGTACTGCATTGCACCTGGGCATTCTGTCTCACATAGGATGCCTCCATGCAATGCAAATACATTGGTGGTGATAGTGAAAGACAGCAGGAGAAGTGGTTGGGCACCATGACTCTGCTCCACTTTACACCATCAGCCCCTCACTGCCAAGATATTTGTATCGGATGGGCCTATCCGATGTTCTATCACCCCGAGATATGCGATGCAGTGTCAGTAGGATTAGGTGCGATGGAATTACACTGCAATATGGTGTCAGAGCATTAGATACCGATAGTAATTCCATCGCACCTAATCCTACTGACACTGCATCGCATATCTTGGGGTGATAGAACATCGGATAGGCCCGTCCGATACAAATATCTTGGCAGTGCCTGAGTATGTGAGAAGTGCCATGGAGTTGCAGATGTTAATATGAATGTATTCTTACTACACCTCATAGCTCAGTTTCAAGAGCTATGATTGAGAATTCATTGTAAAAGTGAGATAAAATTATGTATTACAGCATTATTACATGTAGAGTAACCTGCTGCAAACCATAAACTCAAACTGTAATAACATACAAGATGTTATGTACTAGTAAAAGCAAGAAATAGTAAACTTTTGCCTTGCAATGTGTGTATGCTCATAAAGGATAAAGGGTAAGAATATAAAAGATGGGTCTGACCTCCTCTACAGGAGGAGGAGGATCTGTATCATTAAAAAAAACTTCAACTGTCTGGATAACCATAAAAGATATCCTGGACTTTCACTTTATAGAGAACTTCTATTCACCAACTACTATGAGTAGCCTATTGATATATTCTCATCTCAGGAAAGCCCTCATCTTTTCTATTCATCAGTTTCTAACTTTCTTGGGTCTTTTCAGGTGCAAAGCTAGAGCCTTTCCTCACTATTTGCTATCTAATCTTGATGAGGGGTTCTCAAGAGTTGAGATAGTAAGTAGAGGATAAATCTTGAGGCTGGGACTGACCATTGGATAGTGCAAGGAAAGGATTGCATTGGTCATCACTGGACTTGCCAGATATCTAGTTTAGCTTAGATAAGTCCAGTGCCCATCTGGCTTGCAGGGACTAGTCCTGGGCATTTAGGAAGGTAAAGGAACCCATTCACCGCCAGCAAAAATTACTCGGACAAGGCTGTCCGAGTAATTTTTGCTGGCGGTGATTGCTCCTCTCTGGCCTTTGTGCCTTCAATCATCATTGTCAAATCTATTGAGGTGTCTTGCCTGACAGAAACATGACTCTCTCTCCCACCTTGAGAAAATCTCACCTAACCAATCAATTGAGTGATAGAAAAAATGATTGATGGAGAGAAATTTCTTTGAGGTATGTCATGTCTGTCAGTATATCTAGGAGTATTCAGAGTTAGGTTTATAATAATGAGATGTACAAGGTTTGAGCATGTAAATTTTTTGGTGTGACAGAGAAATTATACTTGTTAAATATCACTCAATTCTTGACAGATAGTTACTCAGTAAGAGAAGGAAAACCAAGAAAAATCCCAAGGGATCTATAGCTGAGGACCAAAATTATTACAAGATGTTCTCAAGTTCCCCACAGGAGTTTTTGTAGATTATAGTCTCATGGCCCCAACTTTTGCCTAGGATTAAACCTTGCTCTGATCAAAGTCTATCTGAAACTGATGAACCAAAGGATTTTATACTTTGAAAAAGATACTCTGTCTATATATGATGAAAGACTTAGGCAAGGAGGGAAAAGAAAGCTTCTTGTCAATACAAACTATGAACAGGACAATACCTGGCTCTCATACCTGCAAGATTTAATTTGGGAATGACAAGCAAAATACAACACATTTTCAGGTTTGAAATAGCTGAGAGGCCAAACAGGTCTTACTTTTGAAATATG